GTCTCTGACAGTTTTTTTCTTCTGCACGCTTGCTGCCCCTCGCAACTCCCTGTCCCGGCTTCACACACACGGCGATCATTTGCAATCTCGCGAGATTGCGGCCGCCATTTTAGGGCGAGCGCCACGTTCTAGACGGAGCTCAATCAGAGACTCGAGGACATTAACAGAGGTCAGTCCAGTCATTTGTTGCTATACCAAGCTGTATCTAGGCACCAAAGGGATCATTACCCTGTGCCTGTCTGGGGTGCTGCCCTACATACTGTGCTACTTTTTTTGGAGGTCGCCCTGTGGCCACCTCTGTCATCCTGAGTGAGGCCCAGAATACCAAAAAATCCTTATACTTTGGTGATTGCCTTGTAGGGACAATCTTTGTCACTATCAGTGCCTGTTATAGGCTTGTAATACCCTATGGGGGTTTTTACTACACCTTGCATTCTTACAGACCCTGCTGGGGTCCACTATAATATTTTACACCACACACCCTGCTGGGGTTACTCTATTCTTTGAATAGATAATTACACACTACTGCACCCTGCTGGGGTCCACATAGTGTTGCTTATATACAGTAAATAAATACAGCTGAACTGACCTCTATTGCTACTGCTTACGCCCTGTGCCACATAAATTGTATCTGCTAGTCCGTAAAATGGAAGCCTCTCAAAATACAGCAGATTTCCAAACCATGATAAACGAGGCAGTAGCAGCCTCCATGGAGAAAGCTCTCTCCAAAATGATGGCCTCTAACTTTGACAAGAGGAAACCATCAAAAACCCACCAATGCCGCCCACAGGCAAACGCCACTGGAAAGGGGAAAAGGGACATCAGAACCCGACCATGAGCAAGACCCCTGCCAAACGGCATAAACCCTCTGCTGTCACTACCCCGACCCCGCAACACGATTACTCCTCATAAGAGGAAGACGCTCACACCAAATCCATGGCCATCTTGGATGAATGGCAAGCAGACGAGTCAGACTCGCACGAGGACGCATGGGGTTCAGACTCCGAATCTCAACCCGGACCCTTCCAACACACCTTACTGGGAGACTCCCAAGTACTCGACACTGCGGACATCCCGCAGGAAGAAGAACACGCCATTTTTGATCCGTCGGGCCAGAGGCTGTTTGACCCTAGAAACTTAAGACACCCACGCTCAGGGGACTGGACACCCCCTGATCACCTTGCAAAATGTATGCATCTCTGGCTTTGAAAGTCCCTGGACAAGACTGTTCGCAATCGACTGCGGTCGGAATGTCCAAGACCCTCACTGCCCGACCATGTCATAGAAACACCAGAATCTGACCAGGTGATGACCACCTTTATGTCTAGAGGCGGCCGTGACCCACGCAAAGGCGTGGAGAAGGGTTTCAGAGCAGTCTACAAACTACTGGATTCTGTGGGACCACTTTCCAGGATAATGTACTTGGCAGATGACGCCCTCACAAGGGCAGACCAATTTGACGCGACCATGGTTCGCGAATGGGCTCATGATATACGGGAGTGGGCACAAAGATGCTTTTGCTTTGTGGGTAACTCCAATACCGCCCTCTTCTCCGAGCGGCGCAAAGCAGCACTACTCTGCATTGATGGAAAGTTGGTGGAATTGGGCACCAAAGAATTAGGACCATTGGCACAGAGCAAGCTATTTGGAGATCCTTTCCTCAAAGACTTGACTAAACACATAAATATATTTACTTCCCTGAACAAGGCTCAGTCCTCCATGAGGAGAGTATTTAGACACCACCCCACCAGCTGTGTTTTTGGATGGGCTGGCCGCCAAAGGGGCTGTGCTGCCAGCCAATTCTGGCCCTCAGGCCGCACTTTAAGACCCCAACCCTTCTACCCTGAAGTGGGATACCGTCAACAGTTCACATACACCCGAGGTGCAGACAGAGGTCGTGGACCACGTACCCGAGGCAGAGCACGGTTTTCCACAGGTAAGCAATCATCTAACACCTTGCCTTCCACTTCATACAGCAGGTCGCATCTCTTTGTTCCTTCAGGAATGGCAAACCATCTCCAAGGATGCTTGGATCCTGCAAACAGTACAGGGATACATCATCGACTTCACGGAATCTCTACGACAAAGGGACGTACCACACCCCATCAAATGCTCAACAGAAGACACCAAACTCATACACAACGAGTTACTAGAGCTACAATCGAAAGGGGCAATCGAACCTGCCTCCGACCCGCTGGGTTTTTCAGCAACATATTCCTGGTGAAGAAAAAAACGGGGGACTTCCGCCCCGGCAAACTTAAAAAGACCCAATGAATATGTCAACAACAGGCACTTCAAGATGGAGGGCATTCACCTCCTGAGAAACTACTGCAAGACAAAGATTGGTTCTCTTAAAAGACGCATACCTTTCAGTACCCGTCCACCATTCCTATCGACAATTCCTACGGTTCCACTGGCAAGACTTCCCCAGGCAATTCACGTGCCTCCCCTTCGGCCTCAGCTCGGCCCCATGGTGCTTCACCAAATTACTGAAGCCCGTGGTCGCTCATCTTCGAGTATAAGGAATTTGTTGCATTATATACCTGGACGACCTCCTACTGTTCTGCTCCGACAAATCCAGACTGATACAACACACACACTATACCATGGACCTCCTATCATCCCTGGGCTTCAGACACCTCCCCATCCTAAATGGTACAATTCCTAGGATTCGAGATAGATTCCACCACAAACACTCTACGACTGCCGACGTCGAAAATCTCGACCATTCGCAAAGAATTACGCAAGACCATTCGCTCCCATACCATTCCACTCCGCACCCTCGCCCGAATAGTGGGACTCCTCTCGGCTTCCATACAAGCTATCTTTCTGGGCCCACTCCACTACAGGGCGATGCAACGCCTCAAAGCATCCTTCCTCAGGAAAAACCCATCATATGACCAGCCGATCCCGATAACGGAAGAGGTCAGAGAAGAGCTCAGATGGTGGCTAGACAGCATGGAAGCATGGAATGGCCGGGCCATCTTCGGGAACACACCCAGAATCGGATGCCAGCCTCTGGGGATGGAGCGCGACAAGCGAAGGTGCATCAACAGGAGGTACCTGGACCTCCCAGGACCTCAACATGCACATAAATTGCCTAGAACTCCTGGCAGGGTCATTCGCCATCTGCAGCCTGGCAAAAGACAAAACGGACTGCTGCATCCTTCTGAGGATGGACAACATCTTGGTCCACTACATCAACCGCCTGGGCGGGGCTCGATCCCGACTCCTGTCAGAAATAACGAAGGAGATCTTCGACTTCTGCCTACCCCGCAACATCTCCCTCACAGTGGAATATCTCCCCAGGGAAACGAACCTCACGGCAGACTGGTTCTCACGACACTGGAGAGACACCAGCGATTGGAAACTGGACCCACAGATCTTCCACTGCCTAGCGGAATATCGGGGCCCATTTCACCAAGATCTGTTTGCGTCTCGCAACTACAGGCAAACACAGTTCTACTTCAGTTGGCTCCCGGATCCAGAGAGCAAGACAACAGATGCATTCCTACAACCATGGCTGAACTCGGGAGCATACACCTTTCCCCCCTTTGCCATGATAGCAAGGACCATCCACTACCTGAGACGACAACGGGTATCGCTGCTACTCACCACCCCATTATGGGTACATACTCACAGATCCGAAAGGGAACCTCCACCCACTGATCCTGACCAACTGACTCACTCTGGTGGCTTGGACTCTTTCCGTGGTACCTGGCAAGTCGGCGAACTATCGCAGGCTGCTAGGGAACGCCTGTGGGACTCATGGGCTCCAGGAACCAGAAGATCCTACCTATCTGCTTGGAATTCCTGGTCCAATTGGTGCATGGAACGGATCTTCGATCCATTTACAGCATCTCCCCCTACCATTTTAAACTACCTAACCCATATATTCTCAACAAGACGATCATACAGGTCAATTAACGTAGTCCGCTCCGCTATCTCAGCGGCCCACGTCCCTATACTAGGGATCCCAGTAGGGAAAGACCCGCTAATATGTCGACTTCTAAGGGGCATTCGGATACAACGACCTCCTCAACCCAAATACTCACAACTCTGGGACGTCGAGGTAGTTCTCCGTTTCCTGAGAGGATGGCCGACCAACAACAAACTCTCACTCCGACAACTTTCAGCAAAACTAACGGTTCTGCTTTGCCTGGTTTCATTCCGCAGAGTATCAGACATCCGGGCATTTGACATAGACGCCTTCTCGGTCTCCCCAGAGGGAGTCACGTTCCAGGTATCTCATCGCACAAAATCGGACTCTACAACGGTTTTCTACCCCTTCTTCACCTCCGATCCACAACTCTGCGTCGTCAACACTCTACAACGATACGTGGAAGTTACACTTCCGATACGGACACCTCCCTCGGGAAAACTCCTCATGTCATACGTTCAGCTACACGTCCCCATCACTACTACTACCCTTGCCAGATGGGTTCGGTGGATACTTTCATTAGCAGGCGTAGACGCTTCCTTTGGGGCCCACTCAGTACGCGGAGCGGCGGCTTCCTCAGCTTTCACGGCAGGTGCCTCGCTTTTGGATATCCTACGTTCTGCGGACTGGTCTAGAGAATCCACGTTTCGCACCTTCTACTTCTGCCCGAACTCCAACGCGGCCATGTCACTCTTACAACAGCATTAAAAAATGCAAAATAGGAAGCCTCCTGTCATGTGATAAAATTGAAGATTATGCTAGCGTCAGTGTACCTATAATCTTAATTTTAATAATGACAGGAGGCGAGTATTTTCCCACCCTTTCCCACCCTAGGAAAGAAAGGAATATCTGAGTACCTGTATCATCTACCTTCTTTCTTATTCATATCTCTACATCAGTCATTTGTTTGTCTACCATCAATCATGTACAGCTAGACAGTTATTATTAATCTTCGTTTTTATAAATATCATATTATACGCTTACTGGTTAAAATATCATTAAATGGATCACAGTCATGGTAACAACCAGTTTGGAGACCCCATTCTAACCCATTTCACACTCTCATTTCAGTTTAATTCCATGACATTCTGGAGCTTCTTCAGGAAACTACCCGGACTGCTACTCAATCCATGAAGATCATCACACTATCAGACGTTCACCCGTTGGTGTTGGTTACAATCTTGATCATCACATTACTGGACGTTCACCTGTTGTGTTTTTCCAGATGTTATTTATTGAATTTTTCACTGTTGTGATGTCGCTTTTGAAAGAGGAGGAGGAGGAGTCTATTTGCTGGGAATACCTTACTCCATATTGCATTTTGATTGGTTAAATGTTTCACTTTCTTTATTGCTGTGGAGTTTAGTAAAGAGAGAAATGCAAAATAGTCGCTTCCTGTCATTATTAAAATTAAGATTATAGGTACACTGACGCTGGCAAAATCTTCAATTAGTAGTGTGAACAGTTACATGTCTGCAAATAAACTATGGGCTGGAGCTTGTAGCAGAGGTGTAACTCAAGATTCAGTTACAGGACATGTCAGTCGATGGGCTGAGAGTCATTACACTACGGTATGTTACATATTTGACTGTGTATATGCATTAGATACATCTTAAAGCAGTTATAACGTTAAGTAAGCATGTGAGTAATCAAAAAAACAGGCTATTTAACTCCACTGGGTCCTTGCTTGCGAGTCACTCTTATCCCCTGGTCCTGCTCTGGCGGGCTGTTGGAGGTAGTAAGCTGTGGGGCATGCTTGGTCTCCCGGACTTGTGGCTTCCCTGCCTCCACCCTGGTGAGAGGGTGTGTCCGCTGGGCTCATGGTACAGTGTAAGTTAGGTAGTCAAGTGTCTCTGTGAGACTAAGTAATGTGTCAATGAGCAGTTATTCTATGCCCCATGCTGATCGTGTTATGCCCTCTCATTCCGTTTCTTACCCGGCGGACGCATTTACCTCTCCCCGTTTTGCTGTGATGTAGTGGGTGGTCAGTTGGGGACCGAGAGCTGGAGCTGTGTCTCATCCGTGAGGTGAGGTGTTTTTTAGATGACTGTGTGGTGGTGAGGCAGTGCGGCGGCCATTTTAACTTTGGGACTTCGGAGTGCGCCCTGCAGGCCTCGGTAACCCCCCGGCCCAGAGGGGGGTGGGGGAAGGGACCCTTGAGATGCGTTCCAGAGCCGTCATGTGGCAGTCAAGCAAGCAATTAGGCAGGGTGGCGGTCGTCCATCCTGCCTTTCTTGCAGAAAGGTCGCAAGCTCCAAAGTTCTGTATGGCCTGTGTGGCCCCAAGACTCCCGATCTCGGAGCCTGCTGTTGTGCCCACTTCAGCTCCAGCTCAGTGATCTTTCCCTCTGGCTCGAATAAAAGCTGTACGCCTATGTTATCGGTCAAAGAGGCCAATTTCTGCAGGAGCCTCTCCCTCATGCGACCAGTCAACATGGCGGGCAGGCCCCGCCCCAGTAGGTATATTTTAACTGTGAGAGAAAGAATAACAACAAAAATAAAATCCAGAAAAACGCATGTCAAAAAAGTTATAAATTGATTTGCATTTCAATGAGTTGAATAAGTATTTAAACCTTTCAACTTAGTACTTGGTGGCAAAACTCTTGTTGGCAGTCACACAGGTCAGACGTTTCTTGTAATTGGCCACCAGGTTTGAACACATCTAATGAGGGATTTTTTTCCCACTCCACTTTGCAGATCCTCTCCAAGTCATTAAGGTTTCGAGGCTGCGTTTGGCAACTCGAACCTTCAGCTCCCATCACAGATTTTCAATGGGATTAAGGTCTGGACTGGCTAGGCTACTCCAGGACCTTAATGTGCTTCTTCTTAAGCCACTCCTTTTGTTGCCTTGGTTGTGTTTGGGTCATTGTCATGCTGGAATACCCATTCACAACTGTCACGGACAGATGGGATCCAACAAGCAAACACAAGGACCGCAAATAAGAAAAGACAGTAAACCTATTACCGGACCTAAGAATGGCCAGATTAAACGTAACAAGAGTAGTACAAGACAAGGTCAGGGATATAGAGGTCAGAATAAACGATAAGAATATCCAAAGGTCAAGGACAATAGAAAGGAGAATAGTCAACAACAAGCCAAGATCAAAATGCCAGAAATACAAGGAAATATATAAAGCGCTCTTGAATAAACCAAACGAATGGAAACCACAACAGGGCATCAAACAAATGGACCAAGGAGTTTAAGTAGCCCAGATAGGACTCTTATTGGTTACTGTGACGCCAAAATGTGCATGCACATCTGCGTCACCAGCGTTGAAAATGGAGTTTGTGCCTTTAAATTGCGGCACTTGGAAGCGGCCAGCGCGATTCCTGGCCGTGTTGCGTGAAGAGCGAAGGGAGACCTGGCAGGAGGTAAGTCTATTTGTATTTTTATTTTGTCCGAGCTCATCGAGCGCGGACATGTTGTCATGCCGACCGGGCGCGGGCATGCCCCATTGTCACAAAGCCAATTGGTCTCCCCAGATTGGCTTTGTGACAATGACCCATTTTTAATGCCTTGGCTGAGGGAAGGAGGTTCTCACCCATAATTTGACGGTACATGGCCCCGTCCATCGTCCCTTGGATGTGGTGCAGTTGTCCTGTCCCCTAAGCAGAAAAACACCCCCAAATGCTCAATGTTTCCACCTCCATGTTTGGCGGTGGTGATGGTTTTCTTGGGGTCATAGGCAGCATTCCTCCTCCTCCAAACACAGTGAGTTGAGTTGATGCCAAAGAGCTTCATTTTGGTCTCATCTGACCACAACACTTTCACCCAGTTCTCCTTTGAATCATTCAGATGTTCAATGGCAAAGTTCAGACGGCCTGTACATGTGTTTTCATGAGCAGGGGGACCTTGTGGGTGATGCAGGATTTCAGTCATTCATGGCATAGTGTGTTACCAATTGTTTTCTTGGTGACTATGGTCCCAGCTGCATTGAGATCATGAACAAGATCCTCCCACATAGTTCTGGGCTGATTTCTCACTGTTCTCATGATCATTGAAACTCCACGAGGTAAGATCTTGCATTGAGCACCAGCCCAAGGGAGACTGACAGTTAGTTTGTGTTTCTTCCATTTGCGAATAATGGCACCAACTGTTGTCACCTTCTCCCCAAGCTGCTTGGCGATGGTCTTGTAGCCCATTCCAGCGTTATGTAGGTCTACAACGTTGTCCCTGACATCCTTGGACAGCTCTTTGGCCACGGTGGAGAATTTGGAATATGATTGACTGATTACCTCTGTGGACAAGTGTCTTTTATACAGGTAACGAGCTGAGATTAGGAGTACCTGTTACCTGTATAAAAGACACATGGGAGACAGAAATCCTGCTGATTGATAGGGGATCAAATACTTTTTTCACATGTGTGTTTCTGGATTTTTTATTTTGTTATTCTGCCTCTCGCTGTTAAAATACACCTACCATTAAAATTATAGACTGATAATTTCTTTGTCAGTGGATGAATGTTCAAAAGCAGGAGGGGACCAAATCCTTTTTTCCTTCACTGTATATTCACTACTGCATCTGGAAGGAGCTATAACACTACAGGAAAGGGAATCCATGGCGGCGATACTAAGGTAGTAGCAGTGGCGGATCAAGAGCCTGATCTCGGGAGGGGCACTTGTAGATTATTTAAATAAATAATCCAGACACAATAACCACTACAGCTCAGTGTAGTGGTTATGGTGTCAATAGTGCCGGGACCCCCTCCCAGAGTAAGTAGTCAAACCGTTTAAGAACAGTTTGACACCTTACCTGAGGTCTGCAGGGAAATGGGGCAGTAGTAGGGCATAGGAGCAGTGGTGTTTGTGAGTGGTGCAATGTGTAAGGGGTGCGGTGTGTGTGTGTGAGGGACAGTGTGTGAGCAGTGTGTGTGTGTGTGTGAAGGTGGCAGTGTATGTGTGTAACAGTTGCAGTGTGTGTGAGTATTGCAGTGTATGTGTGTGTATATGTGTGTGTATGGGGGCAGTGTGTGTGTATGGGGGGGCAGTGTGTGTGTATGGGGGGCAGTGTGTGTGTATGGGGAGCAGTGTGTGTGTATGGGGGGGCAGTGTGTGTATCGGGTAGTGTATGTGTGTAGTGTGTATGGGGGGGCAGTGTGTGTGTATGGGGGGGCAGTGTGTGTGTATGGGGGGCAGTGTGTGTGTGTATAATAATTATGTCCCCCCTCCCTTCTTACCTTTACTGGGGGGGAGGGGGGACATTTCCCTGGTGGTCCGTCGTCCGTGGGCGATTCATTGGTGGTCCCAGTGGGGAGAGTGAACTCTAGCCCGCGCTCCAGGGCTAGAGTTCACTCTCGCGGGATTTGGAGCGTTGCCGTGGTAACTGCGGCAACGCTCCAAATATCACGAGAGGAGGACCCGGAGGAGCTGCAGCCTTAGCTTCCGGGTCCTCTCTCTCACTCCCTCCCTCCCCCGCCGGTCGCCAGCACAGTGCCTGCGGACCGGGGAGGGAGATCTCTGATCTCCCCCCCAGTCCACAGGCACATTGCAGGGCTAGCACCTGCATGTGCTGCTGACAGGGGAGGAAGAGGGAGACCGGCGGATTTCTCGGGGGGGCAATTGCAACTGGGTAGTAGTATAAGGGAAAAAAGAGAAAAGAGAGGGGATGAGAGATCACACCCTCTACCTATAGAGGTTACAGGAGGTATAGGGGGCCTAACCCCAAACGCTTATGTCAATTAGAAAAAGAATGGGGCGGAAGATCCGCTTACAGCTAGTGAGTGGAAATGCCGACCCATAGGAAAATACCTCCTAATGTCAAATGTCACATAAAAATAAAAAATCTTTATTGAATACGAAAATTATATATCAAAAAAATGTGATAGTGGAGTGCCAACACCCATTAAAAACCTGGGTATACTCTAACTCAAAATAATTGAGTAATTAGTATTAAAGAGGAAATATTATAAAGTACAATAGTCTTATGAAAAAACAAACAAAAGTAGAAATTCCTCAATAAATTAAATAAATATTAATTAAATATCACCGCGGTCCACTAGTATACTTGAAAATTATATAAGAAAAAGGATTGCTGTAATAATAGGGAGAAATACTAGGAAGTATAGAAAGGGTGTCTGGGCTCAATACCGAGACTTGCCAATAGGGTAGTTAGTAGAGAGAAAAGAAAATAGCCTCAGTGGGACTCGAATGAAATGGGTCTCCACAATAATGAGAGCCAAAATAGAAAATAAATATGCTCTAACAGGAGAACGGCATAAAGTTAAAATGCCAAAAAAGGAACTTCCCTGCTATAACGTAGTCCTATCAAAACCTATAATAA